GCATGAACGTCTGAACCAAACCCACCACTCAAACACAAGGAAATCACGAAGAAAGACCCGAACTTTTCGTATTGCACAGGACCGTGCCTCGCTCTGCCAAGTGAACACGATATGGTATCCGCATGTATCCGCCTGCCTTGCATGGAACTAAGCTCCATACCAGCAGGGGCGAGCACACCCTGCTGTGGGGCCTCCTCGAGCACGTACTCCTCCGGCTAAAGGGGGAGGGGTTGGCGCTTGTACGCTGGGATACTCTGAGGCGACATGACTCGCCACGGTCGGGCGTTGCGGCAGGTGGACATACGTCAGCCCTCGATCCCAAAAATCGTACGACTAAAAAACACGGCTCCTGCACTTCCAGCTCCTCCAAGTCGTCGACTCCTGGTTTCGGGCTTGCTGGGCAGTACACAACACGCGTGCCCACGCTGTGCCCACCTATTCCATTGCGAGCCCCTGGGTGTGCACTGCTCAGGGAAACTGCGAGCCCGGCCTGGGGTTTAGGAGCCTAGGGATTCAGAAATCGCAGGGTTTTGGGGAGCTTCTTGGGATTTTAGGCTTGGGGGCGCGCCTTCCATCGGCACCATGGATAGTACCGGCTCTGCTGCCTCAGGAGCAGCCGTCACAGAAAGCGCCTAAAACCATAAACCAAAAGTCACTCGGAGCTAACGCCTGGAGAGTTCTGAGTACAAAGAACCCTAAACCCTAAACCCTAAACCCTAAACCGCGAGCCAACAGCCAGGTCGTGGAATCTGCCCCACATGGGGGGTTTGCGAAATTCGGGGGTGTACCTTCTTGGGCCCTTATGAGAAGGGAATCCTACTATTTGGGTGGTATTTTCAGCACCCCCCTATTTTCGTCAACCCCACATCTGAAAGTTCAGACGCATGGAAATCCGACTGCAAGCCAACATTGCGAGCAAGTTTAGATGCAAGTGCCTTCCAATTAGTCGGTATCACCTTGGTAAAAACCCGATGGAACTGTAGGGCACCCCCAAAAAACATGGATCATCGTTTGGAGCAGCCCCCAACAAGATCACTTCTCTAACCACGTGGCCCCTATTCTTTAGGTGCCCAGAAAAGGGCCCAATTTAAAGAACTGACCGTAAAGAGTCCCAAACTTCCTTCAACACAGTAGACCCAGGAGGCCCATTGCACGCCTACCGACTACAAACCTGTGAGCGCGAGTTGTCCAGGGTTCAGGGTTGCCGATGAGGGTTGAGGATGTATAAAGGGTTTAGGGTTCGGGCCTTTAGGGTTCAAGGGCAAGGGTTCGGGGATTTTAACTACTATGGGCGGCGTCAAGACAGTCGAGAGGCGTCCATCTGGTCGCACAGCCCTGCGTCTTCTTCCTGCAGCAGGGTATTCTTGGAGGTGCACGGGTGGTCATGGCTGGGCCCGCAAGTAGGGTGTGTAGAGCTTCAACCAGCTACAAAATGGTTTTACATGCCTTGAAGTAACATCACATGATGTGAAAGGGTGGGCATGTCTTTTAGAGGCCCGGATCTTGTTGCTTTTGGGGCGGACTTCCGCGCATTGTGTGTCAACAGCGTGGCGATGACTTAAGGAGCTTTTTCAAGTTTGGGCAAGCACGGCGCGAGGTCTGCCGATCTCTGCGATGCCCCAAACACTAAGAAGCGATGTGTTGTTTAGGGTTTCGGGTCGAGGGCTTAACACCCTAACACCCTAAAGCCCCGAAACCAGTCCCAGGAGCTTGTACAGGTTGAGACACCAAGGACCGCTTGGGCCTTGCACCCACCAGAAGCCCAAAACCAGGGGAGCATCATGAGCATCAGCGGCTTCGGCCCCATGTCTTTTTCGTGGTTTTCCACGCGTGCCTCCGACCCTACCCGTGTTGCCCTTGACCCGCCCCGACGGTGAGCTTCATCCAAACCCATGTCCAGGGGCGGGGGGGGGGTTCTGCTGACAAATCCACAGACTGCGGTCCTCCTCCAGCTTCAATCCCAGCGAAAAAACCGCCATCCCTATGGCTAACCCGAGAGCCCACTCCCCTCACTCCGAGGCCCCCCTCCACCGGAGTGGGACGATCAGCCTGGAGAGGAGAGCCCGGAAGGAGAAACAAAAAAAACCGACCCCTGAAATGATGTTCCGAGGATCGCCGCGCCCGAGGTCGGCACATCCGACTTGAGTCGGGTGTAGGGATGAGGGATTAGGGGTTCGGGTTTTAGGGGTTTAGGGTTTAGGGTTTAGGGGTTTGGGGTTTAGGGTTTAGGGTTTAGGGTTTTAGCGTTTTAGGGTTTAGGAGGGCATGGCAACCGGTGTGCAGAGTGAGCTTCCAGTCGCCGAATTGGACCTGTGTGCTTTTCAAACCTGGCCCAGCAACACGTATGCAAAACGCGGGGGCACAAAAGCTTTTACTAGCGAAGAAAAGACTTGGGTTGCGCGCAGTCATGTTCAGAAGCGAAAACGCGTGATGAGAAGACGGAATCGGGTTGAGTTCAGAGCGCTGCCTTGAACGCAGTGCGGCGGTGCGGATCTGAGTCAGATGTGTCGCGCTGAGTAACCCTTTCCCCACCCCCATCCGCTAGCATCCTTGGTTTCCAAGCGCTTGCGTAGCTTTCACACAGCATCAGCAGGTCAAGCCTATCCCAGAAGGTCCAGAATTGTGGAGTGGTAAGAAAACTGGCACCGATGAGCCGGCGTGGGAACACCCGCCTCCAGGTCTCGGAGCTCGATGACCTCCACACCCGGCAACTCCTCGCTCGCCTCGCTGTGCCTGTGGGCTCAGTGGGCTCCCCTTGCAAGCAGCTTCACCGGGATTCTGTGGATTCTCTGATGCCTCGGAAAGTATGACTTCTAATGTCAGCTTGACAGCTCTGTGGCAACTCCGTCAAACTGGGATACGGAAGACAATGAGAAGAAGGCTTCGGGCTGTGGGCTAGCTGCCTGTGAGGTGTCGAGATCTGTCACAACACTTTCTGCTCACTCTCGCAGCGGTGATACATGTAACAGCGGAGCACCAGCCACACGGCATGCGCCGCCCGCTACAGTGATCTTCGAAAGATGTGTTGCAGCTGGGAGCAGGTCCTGACGTCACAATCCTTCTGAATCTTAGGAGCGGCCGAGCACTAGCTACATGCACGCCCCACGGCGAAGAACCTCAAAGACTGAGACTTGCTACCATGCTCGCACGTCTTCAAAAAGACTCTCACCCTCTCAGCGGTACAGGCCGTTGTTGATGCGGTCGATGAAGTAGGCGGGGCTGGCAGGCAAGCAGACCAAGTTGCCCTCGTACTTCTTGGCGATGTTCTTCAGCTGATCGGTCATGCCCGGGATGTTGTAGATGTCCGAAACCTGCTGGTATGGGCCATGGGTTCCGATCAGACCAGCGACGGTAGGGAACATGCCAGGGAATTGTCGGTAGGCCTGGATGTTGGCATTGTTGATGTCCACCTTGTCCGTGCCACCCAGGTACTTCACACCGTCATAGTCCACCATCGCTTGGGCGGCACCAGGGGCCAGGGCAACTGTGGCTGCGGCCGCTGTGGCCGCGACCTGCTGCTTTCTAGAGTTCAGCCATCCCATGATAGCACCCACGCCGAAGCCAGCAGCAAGGACCCCGAACACTCCGGAGGTCTCCGGCTCTTCCATCTCCAGCTGCTCCAGCTGCATCTGCGGAGCTGGCTGCGCAGGCCGACCGCTCGATGAGACACCGGCGGCATTGGGCACCACGTATGCGGCCGCCGGTGCAAAGAGCAGGGCAACAAGGAGAGCACGAGACATGGCTAAGGAGTCTGCCGAGGGGGTTACAGGACGTCTGGCCACTGTGATCCACTGAAGGCCCTCACACACAGCCAATGCATCAAGCGGGCAAGCATTGTTCTTACAGCAGGCTCTAACAGTCCAGCAAAGTTATCAACCACACATCACGCTTCAAAAGCACAAACAACTATGCTATTGCACTCGTGTCTGGGCATGCTGCATGCATCTTCTGCAGCTTTGTTGCAGCTGGGTGCAAGTCCTGTTGTCACAATCCTTCGGGATCTTCAGGGCGGCCGAGCACTAGCTACATGTACGAGACATGGCGAAGAACCTCAAACACTGAGACTTGCTACGATTCTCGCACGTCTTCAAAAAGCCTCTCACCCTCTCAGCGGTACAGGCCGTTGTTGATGCGGTCGATGAAGTAGGCGGGGCTGGCAGGCAAGCAGACCAAGTTGCCCTCGTACTTCTTGGCGATGTTCTTCAGCTGATCGGTCATGCCCGGGATGTTGTAAATGTCCGAAACCTGCTGGTATGGGCCATGGGTTCCGATCAGACCAGCGACGGTAGGGAACATGCCAGGGAATTGTCGGTAGGCCTGGATGTTGGCATTGTTGATGTCCACCTTGTCCGTGCCACCCAGGTACTTCACACCGTCATAGTCCACCATCGCTTGGGCGGCACCAGGGGCCAGGGCAACTGTGGCTGCGGCCGCGGTGGCCGCGACCTGCTGCTTTCTAGAGTTCAGCCATCCCATGATAGCACCCACGCCGAAGCCAGCAGCAAGGACTCCGAACACTCCGGAGGTCTCCGGCTCTTCCATCTCCAGCTGCTCCAGCTGCATCTGCGGAGCTGGCTGCGCAGGCCGACCGCTCGATGAGACACCGGCGGCATTGGGCACCACGTAAGCGGCCGCCGGTGCAAAGAGCAGGGCAACAAGGAGAGCACGAGACATGGCTAAGGAGTCTGCCGAAGAGGGTACAGGAGTCTCGCCACTTGATCCTTAAAGGCCCTTGTTCATAGCACATGTATCCTGCTCGGAAGCATTTGTCTTAGCAGATTCTAGCCGGGTCCAGCAAGGTCGTCTACCACACAGCGAGCAGAAAGACACGTAACGAGCTTCAGCCGATTGGTTGCAGCAGGGTGCAAGTCCTGACGTTACAATCCTTCTGGATCTTCAGGGCAGCCGAGCACTAGCTACGTGCACGCGCAATGGCGAAAAACCTCAAAGACTGAGACTTGCTACCACGCTCGCACGTCTTCAAAAAGCCTCTCACCCTCTCAGCGGTACAGGCCGTTGTTGATGCGGTCGATGAAGTAGGCGGGGCTGGCAGGCAAGCAGACCAAGTTGCCCTCGTACTTCTTGGCGATGTTCTTCAGCTGATCGGTCATGCCCGGGATGTTGTAAATGTCCGAAACCTGCTGGTATGGGCCATGGGTTCCGATCAGACCAGCGACGGTAGGGAACATGCCAGGGAATTGTCGGTAGGCCTGGATGTTGGCATTGTTGATGTCCACCTTGTCCGTGCCACCCAGGTACTTCACACCGTCATAGTCCACCATCGCTTGGGCGGCACCAGGGGCCAGGGCAACTGTGGCTGCGGCCGCGGTGGCCGCGACCTGCTGCTTTCTAGAGTTCAGCCATCCCATGATAGCACCCACGCCGAAGCCAGCAGCAAGGACTCCGAACACTCCAGAGGTCTCCGGCTCTTCCATCTCCAGCTGCTCCAGCTGCATCTGCGGAGCTGGCTGCGCAGGCCGACCGCTCGATGAGACACCGGCGGCATTGGGCACCACGTATGCGGCCGCCGGTGCAAAGAGCAGGGCAACAAGGAGAGCACGAGACATGGCTAAGGAGTCTGCTGAGGGGGTTACAGGACGTCTGGCCACTGTGATCCACTGAAGGCCTTCGCACACAGCACATGCATCACGCTGACAAGCGGCCAGCATTAGTCTCTTTCCTGGCAGGTTCTAGCCCAGCAAGGATGTCGACCACGAACACCACGCGCGGAAAGACAAATACAATACACTCGTGTCCTGCACTAAACTGTCATTCCCGTGTTTAGCCATCGTGCATAAAGCACGTCTTATGCATTCTTCCCTTTGTTGCAGCTAGGTGCAAGTCCTGTCGTCACAATCCTTCAGGATCTTCGGGGCGGCCGAGCACTAGCTACTTGCACGCCCCAGGGCGAAGAACCTCGAAGACTGAGACTTGCTACCATGCTCGCACGTCTTCAAAAAGACTCTCACCCTCTCAGCGGTACAGGCCGTTGTTGATGCGGTCGATGAAGTAGGCGGGGCTGGCAGGCAAGCAGACCAAGTTGCCCTCGTACTTCTTGGCGATGTTCTTCAGCTGATCGGTCATGCCCGGGATGTTGTAAATGTCCGAAACCTGCTGGTATGGGCCATGGGTTCCGATCAGACCAGCGACGGTAGGGAACATGCCAGGGAATTGTCGGTAGGCCTGGATGTTGGCATTGTTGATGTCCACCTTGTCCGTGCCACCCAGGTACTTCACACCGTCATAGTCCACCATCGCTTGGGCGGCACCAGGGGCCAGGGCAACTGTGGCTGCGGCCGCGGTGGCCGCGACCTGCTGCTTTCTAGAGTTCAGCCATCCCATGATAGCACCCACGCCGAAGCCAGCAGCAAGGACCCCGAACACTCCGGAGGTCTCCGGCTCTTCCATCTCCAGCTGCTCCAGCTGCATCTGCGGAGCTGGCTGCGCAGGCCGACCGCTCGATGAGACACCGGCGGCATTGGGCACCACGTATGCGGCCGCCGGTGCAAAGAGCAGGGCAACAAGGAGAGCACGAGACATGGCTAAGGAGTCTGCCGAGGGGGTTACAGGACGTCTGGCCACTGTGATCCACTGAAGGCCTTCGCACACAGCACATGCATCACGCTGACAAGCGGCCAGCATTAGTCTCTTTCCTAGCAGGTTCTAGCCCAGCAAGGATGTCGACCACGAACACCACGCGCGGAAAGACAAATACAATACACTCGTGTCCTGCACTAAACTGTCATTCCGTGTTTAGCCATCGTGCATAAAGCACGTCTTACACATTCTTCCCTTTGTTGCAGCTAGGTGCAAGTCCTGTCGTCACAATCCTTCAGGATCTTCGGGGCGGCCGAGCACTAGCTACTTGCACGCCCCAGGGCGAAGAACCTCGAAGACTGAGACTTGCTACCATGCTCGCACTTCTTCAAAAAGACTCTCACCCTCTCAGCGGTACAGGCCGTTGTTGATGCGGTCGATGAAGTAGGCGGGGCTGGCAGGCAAGCAGACCAAGTTGCCCTCGTACTTCTTGGCGATGTTCTTCAGCTGATCGGTCATGCCCGGGATGTTGTAGATGTCCGAAACCTGCTGGTATGGGCCATGGGTTCCGATCAGACCCGCGACGGTAGGGAACATGCCAGGGAATTGTCGGTAGGCCTGGATGTTGGCATTGTTGATGTCCACCTTGTCCGTGCCACCCAGGTACTTCACACCGTCATAGTCCACCATCGCTTGGGCGGCACCAGGGGCCAGGGCAACTGTGGCTGCGGCCGCGGTGGCCGCGACCTGCTGCTTTCTAGAGTTCAGCCATCCCATGATAGCACCCACGCCGAAGCCAGCAGCAAGGACCCCGAACACTCCGGAGGTCTCCGGCTCTTCCATCTCCAGCTGCTCCAGCTGCATCTGCGGAGCTGGCTGCGCAGGCCGACCGCTCGATGAGACACCGGCGGCATTGGGCACCACGTATGCGGCCGCCGGTGCAAAGAGCAGGGCAACAAGGAGAGCACGAGACATGGCTAAGGAGTCTGCCGTAGAGGGTACAGGAGTCTCGCCACTTGATCCTTAAAGGCCCTTGTTCATAGCAGTCGCATCTTGCTGGCAAGCGGATAGCTTCACGGACTTTGGCTGAGACATTGTGCGTCGTCTACCACACTCAGAAGGACGCGTACAAGTGTATATGCATATATGTGCACTCATGTCCTGCATTCCTGTGTCTGACCATGCTGCACGCACTTCACGTTTACTGCATTCTTCCGCGGATTTGCTGCAGCTAGGTGCAAGTCCTGTCGTCGAAATCCTTCAGGATCTTCAGGGCGGCCGAGCACTAGCTACATTCACGCGCAATGGCGAAGAACCTCAAACGCTGAGACTTTCTACGACTCTCGCGCGTTCAAAAAGCCTTTCACACTCTCAGCGGTACAGGCCGTTGTTGATGCGGTCGATGAAGTAGGCGGGGCTGGCAGGCAAGCAGACCAAGTTGCCCTCGTACTTCTTGGCGATGTTCTTCAGCTGATCGGTCATGCCCGGGATGTTGTAGATGTCCGAAACCTGCTGGTATGGGCCATGGGTTCCGATCAGACCAGCGACGGTAGGGAACATGCCAGGGAATTGTCGGTAGGCCTGGATGTTGGCATTGTTGATGTCCACCTTGTCCGTGCCACCCAGGTACTTCACACCGTCATAGTCCACCATCGCTTGGGCGGCACCAGGGGCCAGGGCAACTGTGGCTGCGGCCGCGGTGGCCGCGACCTGCTGCTTTCTAGAGTTCAGCCATCCCATGATAGCACCCACGCCGAAGCCAGCAGCAAGGACCCCGAACACTCCGGAGGTCTCCGGCTCTTCCATCTCCAGCTGCTCCAGCTGCATCTGCGGAGCTGGCTGCGCAGGCCGACCGCTCGATGAGACACCGGCGGCATTGGGCACCACGTACGCGGCCGCCGGTGCAAAGAGCAGGGCAACAAGGAGAGCACGAGCCATGGTTAAGGAGTCTACCGAAGAGGGCTACAACTGGCTGCTGAGAATAAAAGGCTCTGCAAATCTACTGACTTCAGCAGCTTGGCGATCTCTCATCAGATCAGAGCACACCAGCCAAAAATGCTTGAAATCCATCGTTCTCATGTCTGTAGGTTTTGGCTAGCTTTTGTAAACGAAAACTCCGCATGGGCAAGAGCACACCTAGATTCTGAACCCCAGCCCATCGGAAGCCTGCGCTTGAGCGACTTCGACCAGACGGAGCTTCGGGAAGGGAAGTCTGGCAGGTGGGCCATGCGCTTCAACCCGCACATCGCGAAGCTCTCGCGCCCAAACCCAAACCCCTCCCCACAGATCGCTGGGCCTGGCGATGCCGACACACGGCTGACAGGCTAGTGTATACGATGTGTCAATCAGAAGTCAGATAGGCTGCCAGAACCTCCCCTCGCTGCCTGGCACGGAGGATGCAGCTGACTCGGCTGCCAGCTGGCCCTGCCAAGATTCCAAGCGCGCCAGAAAACCCTACAGGCCCGAAAAACATTTAAAATTACGGGGGCTCTAAATCCTAAAACCTAATGGCTCAACTCAGGGCGAAGGCCCCGAACCCTTCCCCCCCTAATTCTCAAACAGGTTTAGTATTGGGCTGGGTGCCGGCAGGGTCCGGGAAAAAGAATATTTAAAAGGGGTGGTTTGAGTATTAGGGGGAAGGGATTACGGAATGATAATAGAGACCCACGTTGTTTAGATACCCCCCTCCCCCCCCACCCCACCCCCAGTTCAGGATTCACAAAGAAAGCCCAACCATCGCAGACCTGCACCGGGGATGTCGTCTCTAAAAACTCGGTGATGCACCTGGGAAGAAGGCCCGAGATTTGAAAGCCTGCCTTGAATCAGGCAGCCGTCCCGAAACATTGCAACACACGGCTGCGCGTTTCGGGCTTTGCGGTCTGGAGACTTGGGTTCAGGGTCTGGAACTGGACATGTCAGTCAGGCTATCGGCTATCTTACTACACTCAGACAGCTAGCTCAAACAGGCCAGGCTTCTTTCTTCTTCGCACACAGACATGCAGAGATGCCTCTGCGAAGGCCAAGGAAGGTTTCACACTTCCAGCCCCTCGCCGATCTCCTCCATCACTGCCAGCAGCTGCTCCACGTCAGCCATGGTTGTGTTGATGCAGCTTGGGAAAACGATGCGGAAGAAGTTGGGCAGGTTGCCCAGCGGCTGAAAGCCAATCATGGCGAGCCCACGCCTCTGCATCTCCGCCTTAATGCCCACTGCCACCCTTGCCATCTTGCTGCGCGCCTGCTCGTCGGCGGTGGCTGGGTCCCAGGGACGCATTGCGGACGGCACGTACCAGAAGCACACATTGGTGTACGTCCGAGGCTTTGCCATGACAAACTTCCCGCACGAGCTGCGCACCTTGTTCTCAAAGTGCTTTGCTAATGCAAGGCAGTGGTCCACACGCGCTGCCCAACCCTCGTCCCCCAGTGCCCTCCACGCCAGCCACAGCTTGAACGCATCCGCCCTACGGCCGCACTGGATGGTCTTGTCCCCGAGATCGTACTCGGCGTAGAGCTTGTCCGGCTGAAACAGGTAGGCGGCCGAGGTGCCATTGCAGGCTGCCAGCTGCCCAGGCGGGCCAGAAACCAAAAACGTACTGCACTGCTGGGGCGCGCCCATGAGCTTGTGCGCATTCCAGGTCAGGGAGTCGGCCCGGCCTGCACCCGCCATGAGAGCCTGCACCGTAGGGTCGGACGACAGCAGCGCCGCAGCGCCCCAGGACCCATCGATGTGCATCCACATGCCATGGCGCGCAGCCACATCTGCAATGGCATCAAAGGGGTCAAACGCCCCGGTGACAGTGGTGCCCGCGGTGGCGCCTACAAAAAATGGCAGCGCACCCGCGGCTAGGGCTTCCTGCACGGCCCTAGCCAGTGCCTCAGGCACCATTGCCCCGCACTCGTCGCACTCCACAGCCACGAGGTTGTCGTAACCAAGGCCGATCAAGCTGGCTGCTTTCTTGTAGCTGTAGTGCGCTTGTGCAGAGGTGAAGGCCACCAGGCGAGGTCCGCCGGCCAGCCCAGTCTTGTTGATGTTGGGGACCGCGCGTGCGCGTGCCAGGTGCATGCTGTAGATGTTCGCAATGCTGCCACCCGGGACGAAGAGGCCTTCATGGGCCCTCGCAAAGCTCCCACCGACACAGCGCGCCATCTTGTCCAGCACGTGCCGCTCCACGACTGTGAAGACAGGCGCCACCTCAAAGGTGTGGACGTTCGTGTTGGCAGCCACAACAGACCAGTCCGCCGCAATGGCAACTGGGTCAGCCTGGGAGTAGAGCTGGTTGAGGAAGAGAGGGTGGTGCGTGCGCACAGAGAGGTCGAGCGTCACCTCGAGTGCGCGGTGCAGAGCAGCGAGAGGAGTCGGGGCGTCACCATCCCCAAGCTCCAGTGACACCCCCACGCTGGAGAAGGCACCGTCCAGCTCAGCAGGGCTTTTCAGCTTCACTACTGGCTTCTTCGAGTCGGGTCCGCCCATCACATACTCCACCAGCGTGGCCGTGACATCCTCGAGAAATGACTCCAGCTTGTCCGGCATGCTCCCAGAGCTTCGGCCGCCGGAGCTTGAGTCACCGGAGCTCGGGCCGCCAGCCGAGGTTGCCCTCTCATCAGGGGGCACACACGCGGCCAGACCCACGGGATAAGCCCCCGCAGAGTCTTCCATGACGAAGCAGAAGGGAATACGGAATATGACAACACCAAGGATCTGACTATTATGGAGGGCATCAAACTTACGGACCGCGTGCGGATGCTTGTACTTTGCCTGGCTCCTGGGTGCTGGAGGTCACGAATTGGGTGCTCAGAGGTATCTTGATCCCACAATCAATAAGTGCCAGGTTCACGAAAGGGCAAGCAGAATGTCTGCGACCTGCAGATTCTCCAAACATTCCCATCCGTGAGGTCCTCCCCTCACACTTTCCGGTGAACAATCAACATCACCTTAAACCCGAAGATGTGCTAAAACTTCAAAACCCATTCCTCAAACATAACACATGGCACAAAGTATGGAGTTTGCTCGCGGCAAAGGCACAAATCCTCGATGTCCTCCGTTTCCTCCGGCGTTGCCCGTGGTTCCGTGGAGTCTTGCAAGGGCCTTGGAGATCAGGGGGTTTAGTTTGCAACTCGGACTAGGGCTTGTGGCCAAGAGCAAAGGCCGACATCAGCACCGCAAGTGAACTCTGCACAATCAGCAGAAGCAATGCAACGCATGGGCTTGTCTTTTTCCAGCGTTGAGCCCTCAGGCGCCAGCGAAACCGGCAAGTCGGGCCTGTCAGCCGTCTCCTCACATGCCGTCCAGCCCCGGGCCCCCTTGTACTAGGGGGTTTGAAAAGCCCGGAAGTCCCGGAAGGCTTGCAAGACTCAACGCCACATGTTCCTGCTGGGCCTGCTGGTGCTTCTCCTCCATCTTCTCATCCTGGCCATCCTGAATTGCGCCGACCTTTGGTGGTTCAGGCACTTGCGGCGTGTCAAACTCAGAATTCCAGCTAAACCGCGCCGACGATCTGAGAATATCTGAGAGTTACTTTGTCGCCGTTGTTTTGCAAATGGGGAATTTCTTCTGCCGGTCCGTTGAGTGTTGGAACGCCATCCAAGGCCTTCTGCTCTCGCGGGGTCCCAACCCCTGGCGGATGCTCATGAGGGCGCTTTAAGCCACATGCTGGCCCTCACACCCGCAAGAACCGGTGAACCAAAAACCCAACCATGCGACCCGGCCCATTGTCAGGAGCGTTTTCCCTAACACGCCTACGCCGCCGGTTCCAGTTTGGTGAATTATAGGTGCCAGGCTGGGGCAGATCTCGGCAGGAAAGGCCTGCAAGTCTGTAAGCTTTGCCCTCGTCTCTCCGCCCCCTCAGCCCCCAAACGCTCAGGATCCCCAGCCCCAAACCGAAAGCTAAGGCTCCGGCCGTGGCTTCCGGCAGAGAAGGAGGAAGCGTGCCTCCCACAGAAGTGCGGGAATCAGGGTCTGAGACTTGGGGTTTAGGGAAGTCTTCAGTCAGGAAAAGCTGCTTTGAAAAGTGCGTCGGGTTGAACGACACCATGATCTACGGATCTGGTCTTTCGATGTACAACATAGGCGTGAGCATACTGCACCGTGCGACTACAGGTGTGCTGAATCTAGTTGGCCAGCACCTACTCTGGAGGGCGGCACACGGGTTTCAACCCCACACCCTCGGACTCCCCTACCGAAACTCTAAAAGCGACACCCGCCATGTCAAGTATGCATTCTGGCATTGACCACAGATATGCGCCCCATTGCTACCCTCCAAGATAAGGCACGTTCAACCCATTCAAGCCCCATTTCGAATCCGAGGTCCCCACTGCGAGGGTCGCAGGTGCCGAGATCCTTCCACGCCCCACAAGCCATGCATCGAAACTTTGGGGACCGCGTTTGCATTTAAACCATCTTAGCAGGCGTTTTGAAGCGTAGGATGTCTGAGGGGAGCCGATAATTGACCCTAAGCCCCCCCGTTAGGGCTGCAGGGTTGCGGGGCTCTGCATCAAGGACACTGATTTCAGCCATCACTCTTTGTGTCAGGCGCTGGGCGAGCGACCGATATCACTTTGTGATTCGGCACGCAAGCCATAAGCAACGTCCTGTCTCTGTCCTGTACAGTCTGACAGTCCGACGGCCACTCAAGAGTTGGCATACTGCATGAGTTAACAAATGCGGCAGGACCCACAGCTTCTGAGCTGAATGGATCGCAGAATGAATACAGCGCAACGACTGTAAAGTGCACGCATGGCGCAAAGCAGTCTGTAGAGGTGTACCTCCGGTTTTGGCTCGAGCTAATAAGCGAGCATGACCCAGGAGGATGCAATTTGCCAATAAACTTCAATAGGCCCTTTAAAGCCCTTTAGGGTTTGCTCTCAGGCACCACATGGCTCCTCAATAGGCCACCATAGAATCGCCCTGCCGAGGCCATCGTAAGCTTCATCACAGAAACCTCGCGAAGCGCAAGCGCAAACGGCGCGAAGGTTTACGTAAACATCGTAAAGAAGGATCCTGGACACGAGGAGGGATCACGAGGGCATGGGTTCGATTCGGCCGTCAAGTTCCTCTCTCAAGGCTACGATATCCAACAACGTTCCTTGAGCCCGGAAGAGAAGTAGGTGCCGTCGGTCACGAATGAAGGTTCAACAGCCGTCGAAGCCTTCATCCAAACTTCAAAGCAGCCTGAACTCAATAAAAAGTCCCTACAGACGACCGGCTCACATCCGCGGGGCCCAATACGTAGGGCAGGCCGTTCATAAGAATGATGACACAGAGAAGCGTGTGGAACTGCGCAATCACGATCGGGGCAGCGTGGGCCCAAAGCGGCAGCGTGCCAAAGGGCGCCCGGGAGTACGAATACTGGAAGTTTTCTCGTAGGCACCTCAATTTCACAACTACGCCATTCACCGTTAGAGATGCCGACATCGTCACATCACCATCATCACCACCACAACCGCCATTACCTTCATGACCACCACCATCATGACCTCCACCTTCACTCCCTCCATGATCATCATCGTCGTCATCATCCCCACAACCACACCACCATCATCACCACCGCCAGCAAAACCCCTGCTGTCGGCGTCACACACGCAAGAGAGGGCGGGGGAACTCTTCAAGCACGCAGCCGCACAGAAAGCCGCACCAAAACACTGCAGCTGCAGCGCCTCTTTCTGACTTCTCTTCTAAAGCTTGTTGATTGCACGCTTGGAGCACTCGGACTGCGTTCTGTACACGACGACGTGCCTACTTAGCTTCAGTCACCTCATCATCCGTAGTGTCCGGGGTGGCCTCCGCAGCGTTGGAGAAGACACTTGTTTTAAGTGCTCCCGCTGACATCTCATTCACGAAATCGTTCTTGGACATCGCAGCCGTCTCTGCGAACAGATTGATAAGGTGCGGCAGGGCGGTAGCGTAATAAATCTCCCGTGTTTTCTGGCGTGCTCCTAAGAGCAGCTCAGGCTTGTTGCAGAGCATGAGGCGGTGTACCCTGCCCTCGAAACGCTTGGCGTGGAACTCCGAGGAGAGCAAATGGATCTCCAGGACCTCGACGAGGGAAAGACGTGGCTCCACAGCTAACATTTCCACCTGATACCGCCACAAGCGTTGACCCATGCATGTGGAACGAGTGCGGCCAACCTTGTAGTAGGCGACCCCGTCAGCATCCACAGCTTTCAGCAGGTGGACCATGAAGTAAAGCGATTTCTCGAGCACTGCTTGGACTTCCGAATCCAGGGCATTGAGACATAGAGTATGCATGCCCGTGGTCGTCAGTGGAGCATGAAACCTCAACAATTGCATCTCGAGCTTGCAGATTTTGTCCGTCATGGAGGTCCGCCTGCCCGATAGACAGCTGGGGTTGTCCACCCATGGCGGCTTCGCGTACTTCGTGTTCGGCTTCCATAGCAACGCCGGAGTGGCCTGCACCTGGCACAGGGCTGACAGGTGCACGGAGGCCTTCAGTATGATTCGGTCATGTGCCTGGGTGGTATGGTTGGCGAACCAAGTGCTCTCGAAGGTCATCGAAGGCAAGGCTGCCTCGACCAGGCCTGGTCGAGGCAGCCTTGCCTTCGATGACCTTCGAGAGCACTTGGTTCGCCAACCATACCACCCAGGCACATGACCGAATCATACTGAAGGCCTCCGTGTTGTCGAGAAGGGATCCACGTCGCATGTGGTGTTGTCGGCTGCTTCGACATGCATGTGTTTTTGGGACTGGCTTTGCCTTCGGCTTCGGATCCTGATTCTCTTTGTCGGTCTCCGGAAACTTCCTTGCCTTTGGCTTCGGAACCTGATTCTCTTTGTCGGTATCCGGTAACTTCCTCTTCTTGTCTTCGAGTGGCTCGGGGGGCATTGTCTCCAAGTTCTGCTTCTGCAAGCGCATCTTGTTGATCTCATTGCTTAACTCAGCAATGGTGCTCATCTGTTGCTTGATGATTGTAGCATTGTGCTCGATGGTGTTGTTTTGCTTGGATTCTACCCGTGCCTTGGTCAAGGACTGCAAAGAGTGCATCAGGGACTCTGCCTTGTTCGCGTCGCAGCCTCCACTCGCAACTTGTTCCATAGTCTTGACAGTCAAGTCGTTAAATGCCTGGCTCTCAGAAGAAATCCCCAATCCTTGAGAAGGGCCTGGCATACTCGCGTCCGGCATGTCAAGGCTTACCGCGAAAAGAGACGACGACATCACTGAGCTCATATGGCTACGGCTTCTTCTGATAAGGCAATTAGCACAGCACATTCCTCAGACGACGGCAATATACGGCAAGAGATCAAGCTGAGCACCCTCCTCCTCCCCTCCTGCCCTCCTCCTCTCCTCCTCTCCTCCCTCCTCCTCCTCCTCCTCCTTTCCTCCTCCTCCTCTCCTCCTCCTCCTCTCCTCCTCCTCCTCTCCTCCTCCTTGGTGTCGCCAAGTCGTTCTCCCATGGTCTGTGCAACTACGCATGAGAGGCCAACACGACAAAGGCTCTTGGATGGCCCCTCGCCATGCCTTCCCTCTGGAGCCTCCAAGGAAGCTCAAAGCTCACCATGTCTGGGGGGGGGGGGTTCAAGGGGTTCAAGCCTTTGTGTGCGTGTTGGGGTTTTGTTGGGTGTAGATGGGTTTTTGTAGCTGACTTTAGCTGAGCTTTGCATTCAAAATCTGGCGTCCAGGCCACCAGATGTCTGCCGGCAGCCCATCGCCAGCAGGTTGGGCAGCGACTGCGGGCCTGCCACGGAGCTCACGCGGAACCCCCCCTAAGACGTACTCTCCAGTCTCCGAAGTCCTCCTGAACATCCCCCCCTCAAGACCCCTCCAAGCTAGCCTGCCTTGAGCTCCCCATGCTCGGCTCTTCGTATTCCGGGGGAGCCGGGTGCACCTCGCAGGTGCACTTGCAAAGAAAGGAATTGCAGAGTGCTCAGAACAGAGAGAAGCATTGAGAGAAGCTAGAGCGAGAGGCACAGCGAGACATAGAAAGACCAAGAAGGATGGTCAGAGATCGGGAGGAACGGAAAGAACCGATGCGAAGCAACGAAGCTTCAGCCGGAGCCCTGGCCAGGGGGGGCCTTCCAGCCCAGATGATGGAGGAGCCAGCTGCAGCCATCTTCCACTACTTCAAAGCCAATCATCGCCAGCAAGGCCCAGCCCAACTTCTCCTTTTCATGGGGGTTTGTCGTGGAAGAGAGCGGGGAGCGGTTACGAAGGTTTCAGCAGCAAGTCCTGACCCGCCGGCAAGACCGGGTTCAGGGAGCAGATGCGCGCCAGCGCGATCGCTGCGAGGGTGAAGAACTGCGGGTATCCCATGCAGTACTTCATCTCCTTTGCGGAGGAGCCCTCACTTGGAAAAGGGTACAATCGAGGGTGACAACGAGGGAACACAAGGGAGAGGGAGTTCAGGGAGACGGATCAGCCTTAACTCTTGGAGAAGCCATGGCATGACTGCTTTGAAGGCATGTGGGGGCTATGGGAGCTATGAGGGCCATAAGGGCTGTGAAGGCTGTGAAGGCTATGAGGGCTATGACGATGCGAGCTACGAGGGTTATGAGGGCCATGAGGGCTACCCTGAATCCTAAACCCTAAACCCGAAACCCTAAACCCTAGACCCGAAACCCTAAACCCTAAACCCTAAAACCCTAAAACCCTAAAACCCTAAACCCTAACAGTATGAGAGCTTGCCTGCAGGAGCAG